ATGGCTCTCAGGTCAGTGAGAGAGAGATTGACATGGATGTGTTAAGTGTGAGACCCCGTTGACTCTAGAAATCATGATTGCATGCCTGCATATTGGCACCAGTGCACATGATTGAATGATTATTTTCCAAAAGCAAAAATGTTTTGCGTTTTGGTAATGGAACCAGAGAAGCTGTGTGCATATAAGCAGGACATGGGAACAGTTCAAAAGATTGAAGGTTGGGATTCTATCCAAAAGAAATGGGTAACAAAGGAGGGGTTGAGACTGAGGGTCATGGGATCCAAGCTGGAGGGAAGAAAATATACAGAGGAATGGGCAGATCGAAGGAGAAGTATAGTAGGGCAAATAACTGGACTGCAGGCTTTAATGAAGTAGGTGGAGTATGTGTGTATGCATATGTATATGTATATATACAGTTGAAGTGAGTGGAAAAAATAGTAAGAGGTAACATGATCAGAACAGGAAACTGAAGATTTGAGATTTCAGAGGGGGAGCAGCAGTTCCCTTTGACGACAAGAACTAGAATATGATGATGAGTACAGAAAAAATGGTTGCAATGGAAGGAGCAAAGCTGGAATTGAGAAGTGATGTCCAGGAACCATGAGATTCAAGTATCCATAGTTGAATAAGGCACATTGGGTTGAGGGGAAGATTTTGAGCCAGTGGCCATGGTTGGGACATCCTGAGGATCTTTGCCTGAGGAGTCAACATTTGTGTCTGTATGCTTCTGCTGTCTCCATGTATTGGCATTCTGCCTTGACCACGTCATTAGAAGTAATATGTTCAAGTTTAGTATCATTAGGGAAAGAGAGCTAATCAGTGTTGCACTAGTTATGTAATACGGCGACACTCAACTCTACGTGAGCAAATGACTTCAACTGCCTTGACCAATGAAGCGCCGTCTTTCTTTTTTAATACTCAGATCAGTTTTTTGACAAGTAGTTGTATGGTTTCTTTATTTTTATTTTATTATTTTAATTTACTTGTCCAGGAACCCCATTCAATACAGGTGAACCGGTTTCCCCAGAGCCCTCGTAGTTAGTTTATATTCAGAGGACACTGCTCCTTGCCTAAAGGCATCTGGAATTTAAAATAGGGCAGTGCGTTCAGTCATTTTCATCTTTCACAATCTCAAAAACATGATTTCCTGATCAGCGCCCTCAACACATGTCTTCTACATCATCTTCGAAATGGGAACTTTGCAGTCTGAATCGGCTTCCTTTTCCCAAGCCCCTTTGTGGCAGTGAGGTGCATCTTTTACACGCCTGTGTCTTACATGAGGCTCCCAGACCTTCCCGAACGAGAGAAAGAAGGTCTGTAAAAGGTCGTCTATGAAGGAGAGAGAATGGTTGGATGACCGATGGCTCCCGCAGCATTTCTTCTTAGCTTCTTTTGGCTATTTGTTTATCTGCACTGTGCTAAATATAGCCATTCTGGATGTATGGAAATAATAAAAATTATTATAAATATGTTTATGCACACATTTATATGCGTACAATTTATTATAATATAAATGTGTGTGTATATGTATATGCAATCCAGTGAAGCCCTAAGATAAGGTTTGTACATGAGAGTTGAACTGTGGGAATGAATGACGTCACTCAGAGAAGAGGATGAGGACAGAGACCTGGGGACAGAGACATTTAAGGAATGGAGTAGGAACCACATATTTTATAGATATAAATGTATACATGTATATATATACACACACATTTATATCTATAAAATGCCTGTGTGCTATTCCATACATATGTATATGTATGTGTGCTTAATCTCCTGAAATCATGCATTAGGTGACCTGACCCAAGCGCAGCCCATGTTAAGCACAGAATACCCTCTTGGGTTGCACGTGTTCCAGTGCCGCACTCTCTGACACACTTGGTGTTCATTATGCATCTGCGGTCCTTTTGTGAGCCATCGTAGCCTTAAACCTCTGAAGTGCAGGAACACAGAAGCACGCTTCTGCCTACCTCTGGTGCTCAGCACCAGAAATTCTGTGTCTAACACCTGTTTTCAATCTTCTGCTCCATTTCTCAAATCTTATTATATCTCTGCCTTTTCACACTTTGTAGTCTCTCTCTAATATTTGTTTGCAAACACTAACTCATTTGTATTTCTATAATTACCGTGATTTTTTGTCTTCTCATCTGTAGTGGCTCCCCCTTTCTGGCAGCATCTCTGTAGCTCCTGTTCTTCCGTATAATGGCACAACATAAGAGATGATCTTTTAGTGTAAGCGGGACGGGGCAGGTTTTCTTGATAGTCAGGATATAATTGTGTGTCCAGAGCCATAACGTTATCTTTCTCATGAGATAACTAGTCTCTGGATTCTTGACTCGATGGGCTCTAAGGATTCCCAGTTTTAAATATGAATATCTTATCCTCTATATTCTTTGATTACTACTTCACGATTTGATAACGTTGTGTTTCAAGGCCTGACACCAGACATCTTAGAGGATTTTGTTTAGCCACATGATATGTCTTTATAATATGAGAAATCATATTTCTCAGATAAGAAAGAGAGGCACAAATTTCAGATAATGCCCAGAAAATATCAGGGAGAAATTGTTTCCTCAAACCTCCTATACCACGATGCTTCTATGCAGCTGTGGTCACACTAAGGTTCAGCATTGTATATGCATTCTGTCAAATCTTTCTCTTTTTTTTATGTGATCATATAACTTAGATAATTCCCTTAAACTAAGTATGTTTTAAAAGTAACTGCAGATCAGAACTTGAGGATATTACACAAATTTCACTGAGGCAGAAAATCTTAGTGGCACAAAAGTCATTCCGTGCACTTACAGGACAGCCATGTCTGTTGGTGCTGGCATTCCCTTTTACCTGCAGATACAAGGTCTATTCTTCCATTATAATTTATTTTAAAATATATGTTCTGGGAGGGCAGGGCTTTGTGCTTGAGTTTGTGTGTGTGTGTGTGTGTGTGTGTGTGTAGTGTCCCACATTTTGCTCACTGTAGTAGTTATTAAATATGACTCATGTACTAGGACACCAGGAAACGCTTTGGAAACAAAAAAGATACCTTTCAAATAATCAGCTTCTGGAAGAAGACACTGTTCATCCATCTAGATCCGCTTTAGAATCTAGATGCTGAAAAACTATTCAGAGAATCCCAGAGAAGAACTATTGTCTGTGAGTGGCATCTTCCACCATCAAAGACCCATGGAAGTCACGACAGACACTGCCCAGAGTCCAGACATGTACAGATGGTGGCTGTCAGGAGGTGACTCACACTACAGATTCCAGCATTCAACAAAGCAAAGAGGAGTTCATTTTTAGAGAATAGTCAGGAAACTGTCCTTTAGTCCACCGACTATAAATTTAAAGAAATAGCTTATTATTTTAGCAGTCTCGCTGACATGGGAGGAAGGCAGAATACATTTGTTTTGGTCAGTTTAATCCAGTGCTCAGAGACTACAACTAAATCAAAATTGTCATAGACTTCAAAGGGGCAAGTGGTTAAAATACTGAGGTACCCTTACCAACCTTTTCAAGTGGCTTGCTTTGTGGCTTATCAAATGTCCCTCACTTGCAAACCAATTGATCTTGCTCTCAAAATACTTTGCTTGTAGTGAGATTCCTTTTGTTTCCCTATTTTAATAGCAAATAGTCATTGATTTTTTTTTTGCTAGATAAAAGGAGAGAGAAAGAATGAGATCTGAAAAATGGGCCCACCAAAGAGGCATTTGAGAGAGGAGAGCTGAATACAAACCCAGAACAAAGTTATTTAGTGAAATGCTAAAGTGGTCCTTCGTTCAAAATGGCACATCCTATTCGAAGCTATCTTTAATGCAGTATTGCCAGGCATTGTCATAAATATCACCGGTTAGAAATTTCTGTGTGCATGGAATACGGATATGTTCCTACCAGGATGCAGCAATATTTTTATCATCACCACACAATATTTATTGAAGGTCTCTCAGTATACACGCCACAGTAGAAGGCAGTATCTTTACGACAAGCACAATAGGTTAATGAGTAAAAAGTCGAAAGCACCCTGAACAGAGAAAGTGAAAGACAAATGACATCTAATGAGTTAACATTTTTCACAGGGTGCGTCTCCTGGTAGAGGAGGGCTATGAAGATGGAATTCTGATAGCACATGACATACACACGAAAACCCGGCTGATGAAATATGGAGGTCATGGCTATTCTCATATACTCACCAACGTCGTTCCTAAAATGCTACTTAGAGGTATAACTGAGAATGTACTTGATAAGATTCTAATAGAGAACCCTAAGCAATGGCTGACTTTCAAATAGGATGGTTGCTTATGAATTCACACCTTGAGTATAAAACTTGCAGAGAACATTCAGCGATTTCCAATCCACTGTGAGATATTAATCAGTTACCTAGCACTAATGACTGATCATTTCCTTCTTGTGAGAACTAGGAGAATTTGCCTTCTCTGAGACCAGCTATTAACCTGTGCCTCTAGGGATTACTCAGCCTAATTGAGCCCTATTATTGTGCCTTAACAAAATAAATACAGAAGTACCTATTTCAAAACAGTGATTTAAAGTCTGTATCCCCTAAGTGGAGTTGCTGTTTTTCTTCCTAATCTATCAGCTGCACTACTTGAGAAAATTTAAAGTGTTTGTAGTTAAATTATTCCCTTCTTGAAAATCTAATGTTTATTGTAATATTGATGATCCTACTAATTATCCTGCTGTTCTTTAATTAATGCTTAATGAATAATATGGCGCTTTAAAATAGCTTCTGCAACAAGGGAAGTTAAATCTTGAGACTTTTTCCCCAAAGGATACTGACTGTAATATGGTTACCAATTCACAATGATAAAAATATTTGAAAGGTCATTTTATGCCATCCACCTGGCTATATATTCTTCTAATAAAATGATTTTGATATCTTTGGCTTCCTGGTATCCATTTTTGCCATAAATTTTGCTCTTTTGCAAAGTTTGTGTAAGAACACATTCCACTACTAAATTATAAAAATTCAATCATAAACGTCAAAATATATTACATAATATAGTTTAATGAATCATTACATTTATAATAACAAAGGCCACAATTTAATTAATTGATAAGATATAATGCAAAAAAAAAAAAGAGAAATGTTTGCCTTATATATATTCCCTTTATTTCCTTTACCTTTTGTTTTTCCTTGGCCCTACACAGAGAAAATCATGCTTATTTATCTGAAGAAAAGGTCAGATCTATTGGAAATGACAGCTCGATACTAGAGCCTACTCTTTAAAAGGTATCCAGCCCTGATAGTTTGTGTAAATAAAGCATTTTTAAAAACTCTTAGTTAAAACACTTAGGTGATGGGCACTGACTGCTACTTATAAATTAATCTTTTGGTTGAATCCTCACTATGCTATTTGGAACCTACAAATATTATCCAAACCCTTGCTGCCAATTCCTCTTTGATAAATATATATTGTTAATTTGAAATAAAATCCATTGTGATTCATTTATGAGTTATCTTACCTATCACAAAGGCCAATTAGAATTAGTCATTATTCTTGATGAAGTGTCTGTTTTTAATCATATAAATCATGACAGTTACTCAGACCCAGGCATTTCAACAGAGCTAACATCACCTTCAGATAGGAACACCATGCATACCTCTTGGAAAGTTGAGCTTCGGTAAATAAAAGATATTTCTGCTGCTCAAAGATGATGAGGCTTTCTGTGTATTGGAATAGAAAGTACCAAAGAGGAAGGAGCCAGGAGAACAAATTAATTCCTTTAAATAAAAAATGCAAATGTCCTCACCAGTAAAGCAAGCAGATTTTTTTTTTAAATCTCTGTTTTTGAAATCTACTTGTCAAAGAGTCTTCAAAGGCAATTGGAAGGGTAACAGATTTTTCATTGTAATCGTGGAAGTTGTGTGATAGTTAGGAGATATCAACATGCATTTTTAATCTTTTCCTTAGATGAAAGAAATGGCTTTTGGCAGTGTGTTCTAACCAGAAAGAAAGGATTTGTATTACTCTCCAAATCTACTGTACTGTCAGCTTAAATCCACCTGAGAAAAAAGAAAAAAAATGATAGCTCCAATGCATGTAATTCATAAACACTGCGAAGGAGAGCCACTTGGCATCTGCAGTCCTCCTATTAACAGTCTGCCATGGAATGCAGTTACAGTATTGATTGGCGTATGGTCATACAGTAACCATAGCCTTACCTTACAGACCTGTGAAATAAAGGGCATTTTAACCTCATAAAATTAATTTTCTGGAGAACTCTTAAAGAGAATCCATTTTAATTGTTTTTGCTACTTCACATGTTGTCATTCAAAATATCTTTCAACCCAAAAGAAGTTAAATAATTTATGCAGGTTTGTGTGTATATATATATGCATATACTTTTTATATTAAAATTTTGAGGCAGTACAGCCACTGTACCCTATAGAATAAAGCCACATATGTATACATGTTTTATGTGTATATAAAACATTTCATCTAACGTGTGTGTGTGTGTGTGAGTGTGTGTAGCAGATACTTGTATAAAATATAAACACTCTGTTGTCATATTGGTTATATGTGAAATTGTTAATTTTGAAATAACCTCAGGCCACAGACTTGTAGTAACCATTTGAAGGCTTTACCTAGTGTCCCCTTGGTGACATATGCAGCAGCTCAAATTAAACCTTTGTGCATTGGGTTATGAATAATCTTTTCTTCCAAAGATGGCAAAAGCCTTGGTTTGATTTGATACTGAAGAATGCATTTCTCTGACTTTCCCAGTGAATCTAAATGTATTCAGTTGACAAAATGGACACATAAGGGCTTTTTCTAAATACCGTACATAATTACACATTTTCACACTTGCAGGGTAATCCTATGATACACTGTCAATCTCTATTTTTAAAGACTATCACCAGAAAAGAGAGAAAAGAAAATTCATACAAGAAAAAGAAAATGTGAAAATGATCATAGGCTTGGGAATTCCCTCAAATCCAGAAAATTCCAGGTTAAGGCTTGAAGTTGAATCATTCCCAGGTCTAGCTCTAAAGTTAACAAGAGTACAAGGCAAACAATTTCTTTGGGGACAAGCAGCATTATTTCAATTAGACCTTCTCCTGCAGGGTAAAAATCGTTCTTCCCCACACTATGAATGGACTCCAAGTATCATAATAAGCAGGTAAACTCACAAGAACCAAAGCTGACATATGGATAAAAGCAGCAAGATCACAGTACACCAAAGTATCATATATATTGAAGAAATAATTCAATGTCTTAGATTTGTCTATAAAAATTTGTGATCTATATAGGACTTCATTCACATGGACACTAACGATAGGAGTATTTGCTTTGGCGGTTGTGGATCACACATCTGTTTATCTTGCTTTGATATTTTTACATAATGTTTCTGAGTGATACAGATGTGAGTCAGGTAGCATTTGATTTCCCCACATATACACAACTGAGGTGCCCCGCAATTGGCATCCCTTGGGATCCTTGATTCACTGACGTTAGCCATACGAATCCATTGTTCAAACTCAGAACAATAAGCTTAGTTTCTGCATCATCATCAGTCAGCATAAATAATAAATCCAGAAAACGTGCTGTATTTGTTGTTGTTTCCTCCATGGGCTTTCCCGCCATCTAATTTGATATAGACTTCGTCTCCCGGCTCCAAATGAAGAACCACACTGTTACTGGCATAGTCGTAATTCTGATCAGCATCTTGGGCAATCGCACTAGCACGCACCTATGTGAAACAGACAAGAATTAGGATGCGTAAACGAGAATTCTCGTTTTCTTTTCTGCCATTCACGTAGCATCCCAAGCTGCTGTGCAGCCATAGCACAGAACTTAGCACAGGAAAGTCCATGTTGACCTCAAAGCTTTGTGAGGATATTGCTGTGGCAGCTTCTGCTATGTTAGTGAGACGGAGGACAGAAAGGGAGAAAATAGTGCTTCAATGGGAACCATTCTAGCAGTCTTATCTAACCATAGATTGTAAACTGTGCATACAATTTATTCTCTTCCTGTATCACTCATTTTTCTAACTCCTTCAATCCCTATGCCCAATCACATTTTGAAATGAAACAAACAGTACTTTTTTGCATTTTAATTTAAGCCAAATTATAATATTCTAATCAGCTGTTCATGAGTACAGAAGTTCAAGTCTAACTTCAGCTGCTCACCACAATTATTAGAAAACTGAGGTAGGTAATAGGTAAATATACAGGAAAATACCAATTAGTCTACTACCTAGAAAGGAAAAAAAAAAGATAGAAAGCCCTTTGATTTAGGGCTTTCCAAATCTCGTTCATGTAAACCCCCCTGTACCAGGCTGGTTCAGAAGCTTAGCTCATTTGATTATATCACCTGAGTTTTCAGAGTTCTTTTTTCCATTCATGTCTTTTTATTACTTAACTACGATATATGCATTGAAATTAACAACTTAATCTTAACATATCTAAAAGTTAAAAGAAGGAACTAAATTTTCATGCTCTGAGGCTTCTCCAGTTTCAAGAATCTTTGAATGATTTCATTGAATATCCATCTATACTTAGGAGATTGTAAATACATGGCTTGATTTGAGGGCAGAGGCTGCTTATAATCTGCCCATGTTAAGCCTGTGATCTCATTAGTGAGTTCATAGACGTTTACAAACAGTCAAATTGCCTATCATCCCATGCAATGTGGACATTCTGTCAGATTCTTAGCTCAAATTGGGCTTCATATTCATTTAGATATGTTTTGATTCTGCCTTGGAAAATCTTTCAACAGGCAGACTTAGATTTGATTTATTTCTGTAAAACATCTTGTTCTTTGGCTTGTTTCATTTCTCTGCCACTATAATGATATTTCCCTGAATAACATAGCAAGTGATTTAGTGGTTTTGTAAACCTGCACTATGTAATAATGCATGACTCGGGGTACAATATGCTGGATTTTATCACTTGGCAAAAGGAGAGAAATGAGACAGAAGTCAAGAATTTCCATGCATTTCTTTCAAAATTTAAATGATAGGTTTTCCAATTAAATTTTCATGTGATATGTTCTCGCATTAATGCTGAAATGTTAAAAAAGGAGAAGGCTCTTTGACACTGCTGAACTTGTAAAGTCATTTGAGTAGTATCTTTAAAATTTCTTTCTGGGTATCATATAGCAGAAGGAGAAAATGGCTTAAAGGATTTAGAATTGCCTAACACTGGGCTAACAGGCCCTAATATAATGAAAGCAATATACCACGTAATTATGCTCAGAAGCATTGACTCCATTTACTATATACCAATTTAGTAAAGTGGTCTGTTTTGACCATTAAATAATAATGCAATTTAACTTCATAATATTTTCTAAAAATTAATCATGAGTTTGTAGGAGTTGGATGCTTTGATTCATTAATTTCATCTAGTCACCAATTCCCAGGGGAACAAATCTACAAGGAGAATATTGCTGTTATGATTGTGTTTTTTCTCATCTGTGGATTTTTAATGGGTGAGAAAATTTTAAAGCAAAATATTTATGAGCTACATTAGTAATACATTAATTATCAACCCATAATATACTCCTCAGCTATTACTAATAACCAGACACATTTTATTCAGCGCTTTGGGTGTTTAGGACATGTTCTGTGGTTATTGGCCTCTAACATGGTTTTCTGCATGAAGGTACTGGAGAAACAGAACACATTAAAATCACTTGATTTTGACACAGTAATCTTTTTAAAAATACAATGCCATTTTTGTGGTCCAGGGTGTAGCCACAACACTAAGTAAACATCACCATTTTTATTCAGCAGGTGTAACCACAAAAACCTGCAAATGCATTAGAATGGTTCCACAGACTGAAAGGTTCCCCTCACCGTTTCTACCACCTTTGTTGGATAAAGCCAGTGTGGTTGCTTTTTAATGAACGTAATTCTCTGAGATTTTAACCTATACTGTACCGTAAGACTGTCCCAATTAAATAATTGCCATACTCTAGCGTACATACATGATTTCGGTATGCCTACTCACCTGATCATATTCTAAAGATATAATAGGACTTGAAATTTCAAGCTCTAGTGCCCAGCTCAGTGACTTTAACAATTCTTTCAAGCCATCAAACTATTGAGGAAGGTAATGCATTCACCCTGAAGGCTATTTCCAGGTTCCTAAATGTACTCTGATTTCAGCATTTTGTCTGGAAATATGATCCATCCTTTCTTCAGTGCAATAGACCCATGTCTAACTAAATTTTTTCTAGTATCTTTTTCTTATTACAAGATAACTGTTTAGATTTTGCTTTATCTTTAGTCCATGTTTCTTTAATCCCCAAAAGAGTATTAATTTGACATGTCATTAATCTCTCTAATAAACGAATACCAACCCACAAACTACTCATTCCTTTAAAAATACTTACATTCATCGGTGCCGTAACTAATAAATTTTTAAGAGTACCAACTGTTCTTTAATAATTTTATGCTTTCAATCCTGAACCAGCTTTAGTTTTCATTAGAGTGGCTTCTTTATTATAGTGGCATTAGACTGATTATATTCAAACAGCAATTTTTCTTCATGTTTTCTGTTAAAGGGATTGCAAACATTAAAGAGATTTCCTCTTTCCAGATGTAAAGCTATTTGAGTCTAACTTTTACCTTTAATATGCACTGTCATGGGCTTTCAACAAATGGTAAGGTTAAATTCAGGCTGATGGTTTCATGGGGAATATGAGAGCTATGGTCCTTTTAGGGGTATGTTTCTGTGTCTGTTATAGGTTGTGTAGTTTTAGCATTATCTTATTAGTGAGGATTTATCATTGGAGACAATATTTATGGTGACATTTGTAATTTAATTAATTGCTACTGATGTTCTCATAATTTCATTTTCATTGTACTTCTGTGGAATCATAAACAAAAGGTTAAGTGGCACATCAGGTTAATTTACTGGTCTTTGATGTTTCCATCTGTGATCCTATGTTCTACACAAAGCATAAATAAAATGGCTCTCATATGGTTACGATCCAGAGCATTTCTCTCTCTTAGAGGGAACTGCATTTTTAGTTTAATTTTTGTGCTTCTCAAAATCCACTTAATCCATAGAACATTACATTACACTGACATGGATCTCTGAGCTTCTGTTTTATGAAAACAAATTAGGTCAGCCAGAGAGGGAACCTGCCATTCTAAGAAGTGATCAGACAAGAATATAATTGAAAAGCAAGAGTGAAGTGTTATTTGAAATTAATAAAAAGATTTTATAAGATTTCTCATTTGTAACCACCTGCAGACGAGACTTGACAAAATAGTTCTAGTCTAGAGATAAAATTCCTTAACAGTAGTAGTGTAGTAATCATTTTCCAAAATAATCCACACTGAACTAAGAAAAAAACATTGTTTACAACTGTAGACTTATTTTTCTGAATTACCTGTTGCATACCTTTTTGCAAAAGTAGCGGCTTAATATTACCCACGAAAAGCATTATACACTATAAGGTCAGCTGTGTTACCTTATTATTTTTCCTGATCCTCATGAAATGTGTGTGCCAGAGTGATACAAAGGAAGATTTTACACCCCAAACAATGAGATAATTTCAAAAACAAAATGCACATAGAACACCTACATGGTGTTACCTTCTTGGAATCAGTATAATATACACAGGCTCGGCAGTCTAGACATCAACATTTAAACTAATTTAAATGTATTAATCCCTGCTTTTTTCCTGCAATTGCAATTTCCAGATATTTAAAGATGTGAGCATTTTTATATATTTGCTGATAAAATTGGAATCCTTTCATGATTGATACCTCTAAAAATCATCTCTTTAGCCGGATAGTATTTTCCAGACCTAACCTTTGAGTCAGAAGAGAGCCAATTTGCAAATAAAGGGGTGTCTCATGGCTGCCTGCTGAGGACTGTTCATAAGCCTGTTTGTGAGGGTGATTCAGTAGCTCCAGTCTGGTACAGTGAGTCATGCCCGTTTTAACCCTTTGCCTATAACTATCTTACTGCTTTATGAATAGTTTTTATTTATCTTAATATTATTTTCATGCATAATAACTGTAATAAACAACCCTGTCAGTGCCTCCTGGTGGCCATTTTTCCTCTTTTTGTTCTGTGTCCTGAGGGTCCCTTAAGCTACTTGTAGGAAAGGGTAGGGAACAGGACGTTTTGTGTCCTTCGTCTCTCTTACGCATTTAGGACATTTTTTTTTTCTTTTTTCTTTTTTTTTTTTTTNTTTTTTTGTCTTTCAGTTTTGAAAGAATTCTGACATTGAATTAGGTCTTTGGAATCCTGCCTGAATGGTGCTTGATAGAAACCTGGGTTGTATCTAAGAATCTCTGAAAGTCTAGGGGGCGAGTTACCTAAAGCCCAATAGACCTCGCTAAGTCAGAGTTGCTGCAGGAGAGGAGGTCTCTTGATGGCGATGCCGGGGTCTCGAGCCATCCCCCATGCCACGCAATAAGCAAAGTTAAAAATCCAGAAACTCACCCCCACATCGCAGGCTGCAGGCTGCAAGGCCTCGCCCCAGTGGCTGCTGATTCAGCGTGCACAGAAGGTCCCGTTACACTTTTAGATAGTTACAAATATTATTTTCCTCCTCTAAGAGATCAAACAAGCTTCGGTTTTGCAGTGACCTCGAATTTCTCCAGTGGCCCCAGCAGAACGCTGCAGACCTATGCGTGGCCCTTGTGGCGGCGCCGACCGGCCCAGGGGATCAAATCCTCTTGGCTGGCGGGTCCAGAGGTCGATGGAGCCGGGGCTGCGCTCGAACCGGTCGCCCTCCAGGCCACCTGCCTGAGCGTCCTCCGACTCCATAGTCAGAGTTTGGGTTCTATGTCTGGCTGTGCGCTGTTTCACCGCATGAACCCCCGAATCTCAACTATTCCTTTTGTTATCAGCACTCCTTGCCTCTCCCCTCCGCTATTTTTTGGCTGAAAACGAAACTGGAGTTTGCGCCTTGAAATTGACTCTCCGTGAGTTTCACAGCCTGGGACGCCGCAAGGACTCTGCGACCACGGGCCCCACGGTTGCTCCTCCGGCTTGGACCCACTCCTTCCCGGCCCTTGTTTCTCCCTCGGGCCTCTGTATACCACCCCCGAGTCGGTCACCCCGGCACGCCCATTCCGGACTCCCCCAGCCCTCTCCGCTCCCCAGAAAGCCCGTAAGCGACCCTACGCTGCAGAGGATCCCATGGCCAAGGGTCGCTTCCCGCGCCGGGACTCCACAGTTCACGAGCTGTCCCGGGGACCCAGCCCCCGGCTTCCCGCCCCTCGAGGGTCGCGCTCGCAGGCGCGCGCTCCATTCGAGGGTCCCAGACTCCAGAACCGCCCTCTCCAGACCGCGGGGCGCCCTCCTGCGCGCACGACCCCCGCCTCTCCAGGGTGGGACGGCGTCCCCCCTCGCCGTCGCTCCAGGGAGCCCGGCCTCCGCGCCCTTCCTCCGCGGGCTCCCACCCCCATTTCCGGGGTCTCCTCCCTCTCGCCCGCACCTTCCCGCGCTCCTTCCCCGCCCTCCCCGCCGCCCGCCCGCGCTCACCTGGTTGTTTTTGCAGAGATCAGCCCACATGCTGGTGCCGTCCCCTCCGCGCATCAGGACGTGGTAGGTAAAGAAGTAGATGCCCGGGATGGAGCAGGTGAACTTGCCGGTGGTGGGGTCGTAGTGGTTTCCGAGGTTGGTGACCACGTCGTCGAACTTGAGCACCTCGTACCCTTCGTGCTGCCGCTTGAGGCCGGCGTAGAAGGCGATCTTGGGCACGGTGCTGTAGGTAGCGGCGCTGATGGCCCCGGCCGCGTTCAGGCCGGGAGCCCCGGGCGGGCCTGGCAGGCCTTGGCGGCCCGGCTCACCCTTCTCGCCCGGGGGCCCCATGGGGCCCGGCGGCCCTGGCTCTCCGGGGGGCCCGCGCGGACCCGCCTTCCCGGGCCGGCCGGCCTCGCCTTTGGGGCCCTGGATGAAGGTGGGCAGGGACTGCATGAGGCCGCGGTCGGGCGTGGCGGCCGTGCTGGGCGCCTTGGTGCCCCCGTAGGGGTCGCAGACCATGCGGCAGGTGCCCAGCATCTCGTAGTGCGCCGACGTGCCGGCCGAGCTCACCAGCACCGGGATGAGGATCACCAGCAGCAGCACCATCACCACCCCCAGCGCCCCGGCGGCGATCAGGCGCCTCCTGCTGCCCACCAGCCGGCTCAGCGCGGGGCGATCCTCTTGTCTGCTTTTGGACAAAATTTTGAAGGTTGGGCGGGGACCTCTTCAGAGCCGAAAACAACCCCCTGCGAACCCCAACTCCCCTGGGCAGGCGCGCGCCGGCCGCTGCTGCCGACTCCTGCTCCCCCCGCGGAGGCTGCGGCTGGGGAGGGAGCGCGGGCGCCTAGTGACTTGAGCCGAAGTCCCGAGCCCGGGGTGGGGGCCGGGGGAGGGGTGCGCGGGGCTCCCTCGCCTCCCGCGAGCTCCTTCGCACCTGTGGCTGCCGCCGGCGCCGGCGCGGCCACCGGGAGGGCAGAGCCAGCCGCCGCCTCCTGCGCTCGCCCGGGCCGCTCACACTTTTATGCCGCCGCCGCCCGCGATCGACTTTTCCGTTTTTGCAGACTGCGCCAGTTCGCACCAACTTTCCGTCTGAAGTTGCCTTTTTCTGCCTCCTCCTCCTCTTCTTTCGCTCGCTCAGTTCGCCCGTCCGCTGCCTTTTTTTTTCCTGCCTCCTTTCTCTCTTCCTTCTTTGCCACCACCACAACTCGAATAGACGCGCACCCCAAAGCCCCGCGCGGGCCCGGGCGTCCCCGGGGTGCACCCAGAGGCGGCGGCGGCGGGCACGGGCGGCTCGGCGAGGCTCTGGGCTGGGGCGGAGGAGCGAGCGAGCAGCGGCGAGCGCCTCACGGCCGGGAGCGGAGCGAGAGAGAGACTGAAGGCAGAATTCTGCCTGGGTACCACCTGCCAGGAGAAGAGGAGGCTGACAAACGCGCGCCGGAGCAATTTATAGGCACCCAAGGCACAGAGGAAGGGGAGCCGCTTTGGCATCTCATTGCAGCATCTGCTCTGCTCATCCCACTCAGAGAGAGTTTGGCATTACTCTGACAATGTGGGATTTTTTTTTTCGGCCTCTCTTTTTTCTCTCTCTCTGCACATGGATGAACAGTGAGATTCTGAATACTCCCTGGCTGAACCAAGCGATGGCAGGTCCTGCTGGACCCACCTGGGGGAGGGAGACAGCTGTGCGACAGCTTTCAGGGCTCAAGGGTCACACCTAAGTCCCAGATTTCCCCACTGCCAGCAGCCCCAGTCAGAGGGTGGAGGTGAAGGTTGAAAGGAGGTAGCCGAGTTGACAATGTTTCTCTGCTGGCTCCTCCACAATCAGTGCTTCAGGTGTTTTTCAAAATGCCACTTTAACAGAGGGAGGGCCTTTTAGAATTTTCCAGATGGTAGGTGTGATTTTCTTTTAACCTGATGGTTTTCATCCCCTGCCTTCTAAATGAATGTCACTCCGAGAACAGTGAGGAGTGTTGAAAAGCCAGAAGGTATTTCTCCACGATTTTAAATGGACATGTCCACCGCATGGGGGGGAAAGGGGTTGGTCCTTTTTACAAATGCTGCACCCTGGTGAGTGCTTACATATGCACTCTACCTGCAGGCTTACAGTTCTAGCAAGCTTTCAGGAGATACTGCCAATGGACCTGAAGTTCCATTTACTTAAAGGCGCTAAATGCACGAGAAATAATCACTTGTCAAAATGGCGTCAAAAGATCAAGCAAGCAGCATATTTCCACAAATGCTAGGCAAGGTCTTTTCCAAGATATGCAAAGAGTTCTATAAGCTCCGTAGCAAATTTCCCAAATGGACATTGAGGGTGGGGAGAAATAGGAGAAATACAAGAACGAAGAGCCCCACTCCCAGTGGGTGAGCTGAAGAAGGAACGGCACAGTTTATCAAATTACTGGAAAGCCCCCAGGGTAGATATTAGGCAAGTGATCCCACCAACAAATACATAAGACACACGAGAATGGCTTTAAATAAATAAGTAGAATTGATTCCTAAATCATACTTCTGCATTCAGGAGCAACAGATGTCAATCAAACGTGGGTGACATTTGCTTGTCAATACGAGGATGATGGCTGGAAAGACGGTGACTTATTACATCAGGGTGAGAATCTGAAATGAGAAGCAGGAACAAGTAAGACTACAGCAAGCAAACAGTAACATCTGGGTGACGATCAGCAGCCTGTGATCTTGTCTGCGGGCTTCACAGCAGGGACATCTCCCTTCCTCCCTGTGCCTCAACCTCCCCACGCCCCCACAGCCTACTCCAGCCCACCCTACCAATTTAGTTCTTTCTTTCCTTCTTGTCTGTTTCAAAACAAAATAAGGTCAAATGAGCAGATAGAAGGAAACAAAGATTCATTGATTCTTTTAAGAGAAATGTGGTAGCTTCTTCAGGCCTTGGCTGGGAGAATCACCCTAAGAGTTGTGCTGTGTGGCTCAGCGGGGTGGGGGTTTCCACCTCCTGGCTACTGATAGAGCCACACTGCTCCTGGTATTGGAAAATAGTCCTTCCCACTTCTCAAGCCTTTAACGTTTATTTTAAGGTAGTGGTTTTATAAATGAGCGCCTATTGCTTGGGCATAATTAGACACATATTTCCATAATATTTTTGTTCACATGAGCTGCCTTATTTTCATATTTTTAAGCAGTAAACATGTAGTAAGTCCTTTCCTGGCCATAACACTTTCCTAACACATCTTCTAGATTGCTTCTTAAAAGTCACCTTCCTTTTGGAGGACAAAATGGTGAGGTCTGCTGCCAGCACCGGCGGGGGGGGGGGGGGGGGGGGGGTAGGGTATTCATAAAACTCTGATGCGCCAAATTATAAATGTCATAAGGCCTCTCTATTGCTAAGAAGAGTTTGGTAGGTGACACAAAAGGAGTTTTTTTAAAGGTAGAGTTGTATAGAGAAACTCACATCAAAACCTCAAGATATGTGAAGTTTTCCCATTGACTAATGCTTAAGATATGTTAGAGTCGAATGCCCATAAAATGTTTATCAATGCTCATAAAATATTAGAGTTGAAATGGACCCTGCAAAGCTCATCTGTCTGCTGCTCATGCAGATGATGAGACTGAAACAGAGCTTCGGGACAGTCAGCGCTATTCAACAAGCTTGCCCCTGCCCTCCCCTCTGCACAGAATGTGGATACTTCCCATCCCAACCTGAGACTGGCATTGCTAGTTCTAGTAACGGAGGCTTTCCTCCTTCTACTTTCTCTCACGCCAAAGGAAATGTGATTTTGCAAGTGAGTGCCCTTACATTTTAAAGCTCTGCTGAGATTTAGAAAGGCACTCGGCAGCCTTCATTCCCCATGAAGGGGATTCCCTCCCGGGCCACATGGCTGACCCCAGACTTTCCATTAACCAGCCTGGGCAACACATGGATATTTGGATTTGTAGTGAAGCAAATTTAAATTCTCAGTCTCCTTCTTCTCCTCTAGAAGTATCTCACTATGCACTTTGGGGGAACCTTTTTGAGCCCCCATGATTTTCGAGGATGGCTTGGTAGTAGATGAACTTATGGCTGGTTACTGCTACTTTCTACTGCTTGAATTTCCCAGGAGGTTCTCTGCAAAGTTACTCACGCTTCAGCTCTTGTTCCGACAGTTTGGATAAACCATCTGATATGGCATATTACTCATCATCTTTACATGTATATAATAATAGAAAACGTGTCAATTAAAAAAATATTTGATTTTCTTCAGTCCTCATTAGAGAACCAAGTTTTTTTTCTCATATTTGATAAGAATCTTGGAAGCAGGCCCTGGAATCTCATTCCTGCAGCACCTCCCAACCATCTCTCAGGAAAACACCAGGCTCCATACTCCCGTTCCTCTTGTACCCAGACCTTGCGGACCCTCCAGAGGATGAAGTCCAACCCAGAAAGCCGTGGTGGTGGCTGGATCACGATCCTGTGATTTTCATCTTCCCCACATCGTTTCTGTTGCTTCGGAGAGGCATGCAGATCCTAAGCACCCGACTCCCACACCGACGTGCCCGGCCTTCCATTAATCATTATTGAGTATCCACTGACAGCACAGCCCTATGCTGGGCTCTTACCAGGCAAACAAATATTTAGTCATGAAAATGATTTCCAAATCCAGCAGCACTTAAGCAGAAATAGCATTTCTTAGAACAGGAAAAAATAATAAATTAACAAACCCAACGGCTGTCTAGAGAATCAGACATAAAAAGTACAAAACATTGGGACCGGATCCGCTATTTATCTTTAAGGTAGGGGTCCCCAAATTGTATTTCAGAACATATACTTCTTTGACTGAAGTATTGTACATTTCTGACCAGAGAGAGTCTGCCTAAGTTATGTAGGGAAGCCATATATCCTTATGGCTTTGGAATCAGATGAGTCTTAATTTGAATCCTAGCTTCCTCATTTAGGAGCTGTGAAAGTTACTTAATCTCCCAGAGGCTCAATTTCCTTTGTGGTAATGTGGAAATAACACTAATACCTAAATCACAGGATTGTTGTGAAGATTAAGTGAGTTAATGCATGAAATGACAATAGTACCCAATTTATAATAAGAGCCTGATAACTGCCAACTGTCATCTTAGGATACCGTAGGACTACGGAGTAGTGTATGCCTATGAATTGAATGGAAGAATACAAGGCTTAGTAAAGGAAGCTGAAACCAAAGGGGCTAACTTAAGACAAATGGCACAAAATGAACAGTAAATAGGAGAGACTTAAACAAAACGGGGTCGGGGGAACACAAAAGTTCTCCAGGAGAGTTGCCGAGGTGTCCTCTCCTGTAATATCAAGCAAAACAAAACTCAAAACAAGGATCACATTACCCTTTTCCAAAGTAAAAAGACAAAATTTTCTATCAAGACCATTTGAATTCATTGTAGTTTGATAGCCCAAGACCTAGTGGGATGTATTACCATGTGCCTTCTGTCCTCTAGGAAGTTCCCAAGTCAACAAGCTGCAAGTATATTTAAAAATTTTTGAGATCATTATTCAGGAACTGTTTCTGTGAATAACAAGTCTCAAAACAGCAAACATTCCAGAGAGGGCCTCTTGGTTTTGTTGTTGCTTTTTTTTTTTTTTTTTTTTTTTTTTTTTTTTTTAAAAATTTTTAAAATTTTGTTATTGTACTTTAAGTTCTGGGGTACATATGCAGAAGGGGCAGGTTTGTTACATAGGTATACACGTGCCTTGGTGGTTTGCGACATCCATTACCCCGTCATCTACATTAGGTATTTCTCCTAATGCTATCCCTCCCCAATCCCCCCGCCTACTGCTATCCCTCCCCTAGCCACCAATCCCCCGACAGGCTACGGTGTGTGATGTTCCCCTCCCTGTGTCCATGTGTTCTCATTGTTCAACACCCACTTATGAGTGAGAACATGTGGTGTTTGGTTTTCTGTTCTTGTGTTAGTTTGCTGAGAATGATGGTTTCCAGCTTCATCCGTGTCCCTGCAAAAGATATGAACTGTCTGTTCTGTCATATCCTTTGCTCTGTCACTCAGGCTGGAGTGCAGCAGCGCAATCTTGGCTCACTGCAACCTCTGCCTCCCGGGTTCAAGCAATTCTCCTGCCTCAGCCTCCTGAGTAGCTGGGACTATAGGCATGCGCCACCACACCCGGCTAGTTTTTGTACGTTTAGTAGAGACGGGGTTTCACCATGTTGGCCAGGATGATCTCAATCTCTTGACCTCGTGATCCACCCACCTAGGCCTCCCAAAGTGTTGGGATTACAGGCGTGAGCTACTATACTCAGCCTTTTATTTATTTATTTTTTGAGTCAGGGTCCCACTCCGTCACCCAGGCTGGAATGCAGTGGGATGATCTCAGCTCACTGCAACTTCTGCCTTCCAGGTTCAAGCGATTCTCATGCCTCAGTCTTCCAAATAGCTAAGGCTACAGACATGCATCTCTGTACCCAGCTTTTATATATAAATGTGTGTGTGTGTGTGTGTGTGTGTGTGTGTGTGTGTGTATAGTTGTTAGGTTTTGGGGTTTTTTTTTGAGACAGTCTCTCTCTGTCACCCAGGCTGGAGTGCAATGGTGTGGTCTCGGCTGGCTGCACATATATATTTTTTAAGTAGAGATGAGTTTTGCAATGTTGCCCAGTCTGGTTTTGAACACCTGACCTCAAATTATCCACCTGCCTCAGCCTCCCTAAGTGTTGGGATTACAGGAGTGAGCCACTGCGCTAGGCCCTGCTTTGTACATGAACCAGAAGAGCAGCCACTCTGAAAGAGACCTAAGTCATAGCTACATCTGTAGGGAATTTTCAACACAAAACTCTCCATACGAGACAAGTTGGAAAGCTAGCTTGGCAGGTGTATTGTCAAAAATTATTGAAATGCCAAATGGAGATGGTTGCCAGCGTATGGCTTTGTGTTGGTCCAAAATTCTAACTATATCAGTCAATAGAAGGATGAAATCTCAAGTATGGATGTGACACTTTGTACCTGCCATGGGAAGAATGTTCAATTGGTATGACCCTACTTGATGTAGAATTAAAGGAAGACCTACTGCAAATGATATTTGAGAGCCTAGCTATGACCATGATAACTCATCATACAAGGAAAATCAGTGAATTCCCAGAAAAGCAGCTGCCATTAGATCAGAGGGAACTTTCAAACAAGACACGTCATAGGAAGTTAGGTGAGAAACCGTCAACTGGGCAGGCCGTGATGAGAATCGTATTTGTCACATACTGTTCTGTTTTGTTTAAAAAACCTAAAGCATCATGCATTTTGAAAGGAGAGTTTGCAGAGAGCCCCTGACAAGAGGCAGAACTTATTAAGAGCAAGTGATATTTCTAGAATCTGGCCCTGAAAGTAATAAGGCTGGAGGAGACATGAACACCAAGGGAAGGTGTATTCAGCCCCACTCCTGTGTGAATGTAGCCTCAGCAAGTCACCTTCAACTAGGAGCAGCACGTCCTGCGAACAAATACCGTGCCCCTTGGGTACTTATGTGCAAATAGACATATCAGCTTTTCCCTAATGCAGGCAGTCTCTTGGGGATGGTTCTATACCTTGTAAAAATAGATATAATTTGAAACCATAATCCTAAAAGTAAATTGTGAAGGTATTTTAGATTTGTAATAAATTGCAAGAGAAGAGAGGAGACAAAAGTAACCTATTCCAAGTAGTTGTACGTCCCATGTAAGTCATTGTATACCTCAGTGCTTCCCATTGAAAGTAGCTGTAACAATTCGTGGTTTAATTGATTATTCAATCATTTCATCTCTGGCTCTGGAAAGTAGAAAAAGTCCATAAAATATGGTCCTACGTAGATGGAGATTTTGAGTTTTCGTTTTCCTGCATTAGTCAAGATACAAGTAGAAGTCCTTACACCTGCCGATATCCACAAAGGTGTCTATGTTTTCACGAAGGCCCCTCTAATTACACATCAGCAGTTAAGAGGTTTCTCCCGGCTCTAGCCACAGCGGCGTCCGAGATGCTAATGATCTTGGGAATTTCAGCCTTTTGTTGCCTGCTGCTGCGGCGTTTGAACCTTTCCAGTAAGCCAGCGACTTTGCAGGGACAAGGACAAAGGTACGGCTTTTTTTGTTTGGTTGGTTTTTTGTTTGTTTTTCATTTTGTTTTCAATGAGCGCCTTTGTGAAAAAGGTTAAAACTATCGATTAAATTAGGGGATTACCTGAACATGTCTATTACCCAGTAGCGACCATTATGTATTTCCATTTGTGTGTGTACCTTCCATTACACATATGTGTACATATTTTACACTTACTGTTAAGAATTTGTTTTTGTAGGTGAGCAGAAGGTGTCAGTGGCTCAGAGGGTCCCATATTGATTACCCATGATGGTTTATTTTCATCCAAAGCCCCAGTACATAGGGACATAGCTCTGTCATGACACAGATAACGCATCGGTCCTCTGCCCATATCCCCCGGGACGGAGGGTGGCATACAGCCTCAGTGGCAGTTTTTGTAAAAGTTCTTGAATAGAAAAGAGAAAGAAAATTAGGAGCAAATTAAAAGGGATTTTAGGAGAAGTGTTCTCAGCAAACGTAATGCACTGGGCCAGGCACGGTGGCTCATGCTTATAATTCTGGCACTTTGGGAGGCCAAGGCAGGAGGGTCACTGGAGCCCAGAAGTTTGAGACTAACCTGGGCAATACAGGAAGACTTCATCTCTATGAAAAATGAAAAAAAAAAAAAAATTAGCTGGGCGTGGTACTGTGATAGTGTCTCTGTACTCCAGCCCGGGCAACAAATTGAGACCCTCTGAGTCTCAAAAATAAAACATTTTTAAAAAATCATGCACTAAGTCTAAACTATACAATCAAGTTTTCCTTCAGAAATTCTGAAAGAGCCAGAAGGCCCTAATCCAATGTTTTAATCTAATGTTTGACTGCAATGGTTAGAATGAATTCTCTGGGTATATCCATTCTATTATCTTCTCATTTATGTGTACTATTTAGTTCAATTTCATTTAAAACGTGCAGAAGAGAAGTGGACTCTGCTATCCATGCCCTTCCTTCAGTCTTGCCCATCTCCAGACTGTCTCACACCAGGCATCAGTGGGCATCTTCCTGCATCAACGGCTCGCAGCCTGTGCCCACTCGGCTCAGGGACAGTCATGTCCATCTTGTCCATGCTGTCAGAAGGTCTAAGTCCGTGGCCAGGCCCTGCACCACTGGCACAAAGATTCTCTAACCTCCCAGGTTTCATTTTCATAACTGGCCCTCTCTTCTCCATT